TGCAGAAAAGGCCTTTGACCGCCTCAGCTGATCCTTCCTGAGACAAATATTACAGGCCTATGGGCTTCCCCTGTCCATCTGCGCTAGTCATGCATGCAGGGTTCTTCTCCAACCCCTTTACTATCACCAACAAGACAAGGATGTCCACTATCCACTTTCCTGTATTTCTTTGCTTTGGAGCCTCTATGTGCCATCAGACAACATTCATCTATTCATGGTATAACATTGAAAGGTACACAATATAACATCAGCGCATATGCAGACGATATTTTGCTCTATGTCACGGACCCCCTGGAAACTCTCCCTTTTTTTATGGGTTTAATTATTAGTAATATGGCTTTTATTTTTATTATTCTTTAAATACCATAAAAAGACAGGCTTTGGGATTGGGGCTATGACCCTTGGTGATGACCTCTTTGCAACTCACATATAACTTTCAATGGAGGAAGGACAATATAAGATATTTAGGCTTCTTATTTACAAAGAAAGTCACTGATCTTTATACAAGAAATTATATTAGAGTTTGGAGGGAATGCCAAACCATCTTGAAAAAAAAAAAAAAAAAGGGGGGGGTTCCTTTTTCTGACATGGACAGAAAGAAGTGGCAATAAAAATTTCAATACTTCCGAAGTTACAATATAGCTTTCATACCTTGCCATTAAATATACCTCAATCCTATTTCAAAAAAGTTCAAAAGGATATCACCAGTTTCATTTATGCTGGTGGTAAGTCTCGGGTATCAATGAAACGTCTAAGGGCGCTGATTAAGGTAGGTGGATTGGCAGTTCCAAACTCTACTAGCTCGGGCTTGAAAATCCCAGCATATTCCCTCTGTGTCAACCCTACAAACTGAGCTGGACAACCAAAGAATATATAAACGTTACTTCAATAGTATTTGTCCCTTTTCCAGAGTAACTTTAGCAGCCTGGGAGATGTGGGACACATGGAGATTGACATATTCAAAATGATAAAATCTTGTAACAGCTATAGTTGAATAACAATAAATGCGAAAATGTAAAAGTAAATGTTGGACATAAGTGATTACAAATGTGCTCATAGTAAAAAAGGTGGTATTATATATAATTAATGAGTATCCAGGAGTAGGTTAAAATGTATACCTTTAAAAGTTAAAACGAAATCTTATATGTGAGAGAAATAAATATAAGCAGTCAAACTGTGTAGTGTTACAGTTACCTCCAAGCTAGCTGAAGGCTGGACCGCTTGGATGTCCTGGTTCCTGAGTGTGGAGAGAGAGGAGCGCCGTTTCGTTCAGCATACCATAAGAATCCTGCGAATATAAAGCAATCCAACTAGCTATGGTAAAAAAAAAAAAAAAAAAGTCGAGTCGAGGCTGCGATTTGAGTGTCAAAAACGAACTCAGTTTAATGGCACACAGGCATCGCTATTTATGCAAAACCCCAGTTCCAGGGACAGATAGCGCTCAGATCTCATGAACGGTATAGCCAGTCTCTTCAATACAAAGTCTTTTCGTGCCTTTTTGTCCCGAACACGAGATGGCGGCCATGTTTTCAGGCTGGTGAATAGAGAGTGGGACCTGGCCCTAAAACCCCTGGAGCGAGTAGCGGATGAACAATTGCGCGAATACCACTCAGTGAATGGTTGTCCCAGCCCTTCGTGAGCCGAACAGAGACCGCCATGAAGGGGGGTACTTAGCTTGTGGTTAACTTCAGACCCAACGTTCTAATTGGGGCCACACGCCCGGGTGTAGATGGTCCTCGTTCGGGAGTTTCAGTTCGGTGAATTATTATCCGAACGAGGCCACCCTAAGGCAGTCAGTTAGGGTTGTGATTAACCGCAGCTTCCCGGTGGTTAATTGGAAGCACACTCCGCTTGTAAGGTGTTCGGTCGTTTTAGAGGTAAAAAAGTTAAGTGGCGGCACACGCACGAATACATAGTCCTGACTGTTTGTATAATGTGTTTTGTACATATAACTACCGCAACAGAGTATACGGTAAAATAAACAGGGTAATCCCGTAACCGTTAGCTTAGCATAAAGCGTGATATATTGCTTATGAAACTATCAATACTATATACACTGATACTTACATAAGCAATATATCACGTTTTATGATAAGCTATCCAGTTTGACTGCTTATATTTAATTCTCTCACATATGAGATATTGTTTTAACTTTTAAAGGTATACATTATAACCTACTCCTGGAGATTCATTAGATTATATCTAATACCACCTTTTTACTATTGCAATTTTTGAAGTATTTAGTGGAATCCCTGTTATTTCCAGTAGAGTGGTTCTTAAAGCCATATCATCAACCCTATGACAGACACTTACTTGGACTGCCACAGATGCCTTTGTGAACCTCAAAGAACCCGAAGAGGATGGATGTCCCACGTGATTTCATTACTCTCATAAGAGCAGTCATTAGGCTGGTTAAAATAAGATTAAAAAAAAATAAAAATAAAAAAATCAATTTTTAGTCAAAGTGGCAGGCTTGTGCAATACATGATCATATGCCATAAAAACGCACATAATTATTAATTTTGACAATCTTTATTTCTCAAATTATTTCCATTGTGATTAAAGGAACAGTAATGACAAAAGGAACAAAAAAGGACAAAACAAACTCCAATTAAAAGAATGAAGGTGCTTAAAATATTATTTATTTATTTTAAAGCGTACGATACACATATAATTGCATAGATCTATAGAGTTGTGATCAAAATTATTCAACCGAAAATCAGTTTTATTTTCAAAATGTACAATCTTTCAGATATTTGCAATGAACAAATCAAATAAAAGCTATTTTAATAGCTCAACACAATGTATGCTTTAAGTGGTTCTCCAAATTTAACTGAAAATGCAACTTACAATGACTTCTCTAGTCTAAAAACTATTCAACCCCTTCATGGCAAGCATCTTAAATACTTACAACACCCTTTTGCCATTATGACCTGCTGCAAACGAGAGCCAGACACCAGCTTCTGGCAGTGTTCCTAAAGAATCTCACCATCAATGGCCTCCAGTTCAGTAATATTCTTGCATGACCTTGTATAGTCCTGTTTATGAAAAAAAATAAAAAAAAATCCAGCCAATGGTTTGCATTGTCACATGACTTTCAATGATTATTTTATGATCATTTATAAGTATGTTGAATAGACCCCTAAGGGACATGCTTTACCAATTTTGTCTTGCTTAAAAATGTATCATTAATGAAAATCTGTACTCCATCTTCAAGCCAATGTTCTACCCAAGAACAAGAATTGTCAAAATTGTCATTTTCATCTGGCCCAATTTCAAGAATTCATTGTTTACATCAGTGGTTTCCAAACCAGTTCTCAAAAGTATGCCTACCAGTATAGAATTTAGTAATCATCCAGTTGTGTCTTTAGAAAAAATAAAAACCTTGACACAACTGGATAATCCCTAAATCCTGGAATGACAGCATGCCTTTAGGACTGGTTTGGAACAACAACAACAACAACAACAACAACTCACAACATAGATAGAGATGGGAAAAGACTCCATTAACGTTTTATATTTGACATTTTTTTTTGTTTGTGGAGGGAAAGTGTGCAATAAAACATATTGCAAGTCAACTGATTGAAATAGTTCTATTAAATATTCTAGCTACCATCATCCAAAAGGGGCTACCAATCATCCCAAAGGTCAACAAATGAGGATAAAAATTAGTTGCACCCAATATGAAGATTTTAAAGAACAGGTTAATTTTAAATAAAAAAAATAAAAATAAAAAACACACACACATTAAACAGCCATTACCCCAAAGATCTACTTCAGAAAGCACCAAATGAAGTGTCAGTTTTAAAAAGAGGGGATATTTTTTTTTTTTCTCAGATAAATCTAGTTTATGTTCAGGTTAGCAAGCTTTTTAATTGAGAAAATAGATTAAAAAAAAAAACAAGCAAACACCATTTTATTTTCAACCCAAAAGGAGAAAAAAAAAAAAAGAAATGAGTAACACGAACACAAATTTAGATGTAAAACAGAGCCATGCGGAAGTTTAAAAAAATAAAATAAATAAAAATATGGGCTTACTACAAATACAGTTAAGAGGTTTGCTATATATATATATATATCTCTATCTATCTCTCTATATCTAACACAAGCAGGTAAGAGGTGCCCCAAAAGCAGTCCAACTTTTCCCACGCTAAACATGCGGGGCACAATATGAACAAGCACATTTTATATTAACAACAAGTAGAAACATTCGCTTGTGTAGGTAGCCATGTGGTTAATTTAGGCTAGATCTATGCATTTGATATCTAAACAGTGTTGGAGTACAATATATATCGTAAAAATCTAAAGCATTATGATTAGGCATTAAGCATGCTTTGATTAGCAACTGGTTAAAGTTAATTACATCGCTTTAGTGCTATTAGTGCGTTGGCTTTGTTGTAAATATCTGAACAATTCTAGTACACAACGTATATCGTGAGAGTAATCCAACGCATTATGATTAGGCAATAAGCATGCTTTGATTAGCACTAGGTAAAGTTAGTTACATCGCTTTAGTGTTAGTAATGCGTCGGCTATGCTTTAAATTACTAAACAATGCTGGCACGTAAGATATCATGAAAATAATCTAAAGCCTTGTGAATAGTCGATAAGCATGCATTTGTTAGCAGCAGGCTAAAGTCAGTTACATCGCTTCAGTGCTAATGTCACCCCGGCCGACCAGGATCGCCCATGCTGCCTCCGCGGGGAGCCATCTTCTTGGTGGTCCTGAGACCCCATATTCGGGGGGAGTCCCACTGTCATTTGACACCTGCTCTGTCTGATCCGTGTATTGAGTGTCTGGTAGAGCAGGTTTCTGAGCATAGTCCAGTCATACTGCGCCGTCAGGTTCCTGCTGGTTCCTTTGGGGCTGTAGCTGTGCATTGTTATGGAATTAGCCCTGGAGGGGGGGCTTGGTGTTGTCTGCATGTGGTTGTCTATGCCTGGGTCGTGATGCAGGCTGGGTGTGTGGTGAGTGGGTGGTTTGTCTTTGCGTCGATGACAGGATCAGTCCGTTCAGGCGGTAATAGTTGGTGCGTGGGTTACCTCTATCACCCCTGTGCCGCTGTTTTCGTTGCTGGTTCAGTTGGCTGCGGTGGTGAGTAATAATGATCCGGCTACTTGGCTTAGCCAGTTCTGGAGGCAGGAGCCACGTTGTTGGTCGTTGGGTGCTGGTCCTCCCATCGTCTCTTGAGCACATGGCACCCGCCATCTTGGGTCTAGCGGGGTGACCCCCCAGCTTCAGCTTCCCAGTCAAGGCTCCAGGGTGAGGACCGGGATCACCCCCCCCGGGGAGGGGAGGGGGAACAGGGCCGGCACCGTCCAGATTCGTGTCTCAGGTTGGGTGCTGTGTTGCAGGATAGTGGGGCAGCGGCCGTCTGCCCCACTCACCACCGGAGAAGGCCTCAGGAAGATTTCTCCTCCAGGGGACTGTAGCTCGGTGGGTCAGCCTCTCCCTGGATCCAGCAGTCCCCCTGTTGTAGGTACCAGTGCTGTCGGTCTGCTTTTCTTAAAGACATGGTTTTTGGTCGTTTTTAATATGGGGTTGCAGGAGCTCTGCTTGCCTGCGACCGTCCAGCTCGGCGGTCCGGCCCCGCCCCCAAAAGAGAGGATATTTTAATAGGAAACCAGAGAGAAGAAAACTCTGGTTTTGACTTAGCTTTTTTTTTTATATAACTAGATATATTTAATAAGGCAGCAGCAATAAAAAAACTGAATCTAAAGTAGCTTTTAGAGCCTAAAAACACAAACCAAAGTTAAAAATATATGTTTTTATTTTTAAAACCAAAATAGTTTTTTTTTTTTTTAAACAGGAGATATGTAATACTTGCAAATGTATGCCAAGTAAATTGACAGATTACAACAGTAACATTAACAATATGTTTATAACCCAAATTATTAACTGTAAGAGTTAAAAAATAATTTTTAGTGTATTGCTACAATGTAAATGCAGCATATGGTATGTTGGAAGAACTATAAGGAGATTACATGATAAAATGATTAAGCACTTACGTGGAAGAAGAAGAAAATAAAAAAGCACAGTGTACCTAGACTTTTCTGTGGATGTCTTTATATCACGGCTTACCTTAGTTGGGAGTCTGTAGTGCAGATATATGCTCACCCTTGCAATTAAACACAGGCCAAGCTGGTCAGGTAAGAACTCACCTGACCTGTGAGTCTGTGCACGGGAGGTGTGCAGGATGATGTTGCAAGTCACAGTACAGATACAGACATAAACAAGAGAATCGTCATGGGTAAGCCAAAGGTCAGTGGGTGCCAGAAATCAGGATAAACGAGTAGAGAGCCGAGGTCAGAGGATGCCAGAAGTCAGGATACACAAAATAACAAGCCAAGGTCAGGAATCAACAGGAGAACACAACCACCAATACAGGAATCAGAGTCAATGAACTGACACTGCCCTCAGGGAGTGGCAGTGTCTTATACCTGGCTAATTGGTGATCAGCCACAGGTGAACTATGAGTGACATGAGCAGTCTCAGATAATGTCCAGCCCCCAGTGCTGGATACAAGACAAGATTAGATTTCAATCAATTACTAGTGCTGTGTAGTGGCTCAGAGGCAAAATAGCAGGTCCAGGATTTCAAAGTACCCAGGTTCAAATCTTTCATTGGGCACTTCTGGAGCAACCTAGTCTGGATGTTGTGGTGAGAACCGTGACACTTTAATTCTGTTTTGAAGATTTCTCCTGTATGTGTATAGATTTAGTAATTCCCCATTGGAGAGGTAGAGATTAGTGATGTCCCGAACGGTTCACCGCGGACTCATCATTGAGTAAACTTTGACACTGTACCTCACAATCAGCAGACACATTCCAGCCAATCAGCAGCAGACCCTCCCACCTCCTGGACAGCATCTATTGTGAATCTGCATTCTTAGTGAGCTGTCCAGGATGTGAGAGGGTCTGGGAGGGAGGGTCATGCTGCTGATTGGCTGGAATGTGTCTGCTGACTGTGAGGTACAGGGTCAAAGTTTACTCAATGATGAGTCTGTGGCGAACAGTTCAGACATCACTAGTAGAGATACCACTCAAACTTTGTTGAAAAGAGACACAGAATGGATTTTTAAGTTTAAGTCCCTAGTCCTTTGTGGACTAAATACAGATCTGGATGCGTTAGCATTTATTGTTACAACATATATTTTTAGATCCTTATCAACCCAGTGACATTAACTTTATTTCTTTAGAAATGTAAGTTATTTCTTTTCACATTTTTCATTGTCCAATCTATACTGTAATTGTCATTAATCTAAATTCCTACATTTCTGAGGGACCATACAAGACATTTCCTAGAGATTCTATGTTTCACATTGAAACACTATTATATGCTAATTATGAGTTATATCTTTTTTTTTTTACTATTTATGCATATACCATAATTAATTTTTATTGCAATGTAGTAAACATAAATTTAGATCAAGCATGTCAAACTCAAAGGCTAACACGGGCCAAATAAACAAGATTTAAGTTTAAGGTTAAGTTTAACTTTAGTTTTCATAGAAACGTAGGTTTCTTTAGAAAAGTACAGTATAACAAAAGTTGCCTAACTGACACTGGACGTCCTCGAAGGGCTTCAAAGTAAACAAAAGTGTGCATTTATTTTAAGGAGACGTGCATTTGCATATAACCAATGTTTCAGTCCAACTACCTTGACATATTAAGAAAAGTTTGGTAATGGGATTGAAATGGTGAAGGTATGCAGTTGCACATCTGTAAAAAACAAATGATGTTATCTTGTTGATTTTGAAGTCATATGAGTGTGTTCTTCACTTTGGCTGAGATCATCAGACTTGATGATCTCAGCCAAGCCAATGCTTTCCCATGGGAAAGCATTGGGAGGCTATTGTGCATGTGTGGCAAAATGTTGCACGGCTAATCAGAATCTCTATGGGGATCGTTCTGCATCTCAATGCAGACCCAATCTAATACACTGCCTCCCCCCCCCCATTCTAATATACTGCCCACAAATCCAATACACTGCCACCTTCCTCCATTCTAATACACTGCCCACTAATCCAATACATTGCCCCCAAATCTATTACACTGCCCTCCCTCCACTCTAATACACTGCCCCCTCCACCCAATCTAAAACACTTCCCACAAATCCAATACATTGCCCCCAAATCCATTACACTGCCCTCCCTCCACTCTAATACACTGCCTCTCCTCCCTGCACTCTAATTTAATATACTGCCCTCCCCCAATTTAGTACACTGCCCTCCCCCAATTTAACACACTGCCCCCCTTCCACCACTCTAATATACTGCCCCCCTCCTTCCTCAAATTATTACACTTCCCCTTCCATCCCCCAAATTAATACATTGCCCTCCCCCCAATTTAACACACTGCCCCCCACCACCACTCTTATACACAGCCCCACTCCCTCTTTCTTCACTTACTCTTTCTTTCTTTCGTTCTTTTCTTACCATCAAAAGTTGTATGGTTTTTTTTGTAAATCTGTTTTTATTGAGGTTTTCGTTTTAAGATAAATATCATAGAGAGGTACAAAGTGAGACTCGCAGGTCTGAATTACAAGGTTAACAATATAGTAAGGTTTGCAGTGCTCAAGTTATCACTTGTCTACATGGTGGAGGGTAGACCCGCTTATGAGGTGTCGAGACTGGGGCTAGCGTCTGAGTGTCCCTTTTTCCCTCTGCAGAAAGGGAGGTTGTATGGTTTTATGAGTGAGTTAGACTTATGTTGTTTTATTGTAATTCTATTCTAGTGAGTATGTAACACAGTCTTTAGATCTTTTACATATTGCTGTTTATTATGATATTTTATATATTTTTAAATGTATTATCTGTAAATTAATTGTCTGTAATTGTTTTGTTCATCATTCATTTTTCATTGTGGTTTGTGTTTTTATCCTTTTTGATGTCATTTCCATGTATTTTTTTCGTGATCAAAAATAGTTAATGTAGTTGAAATACCAAGGGTTAATCACCCTATTTACTAATGTTTCACAATGAAACACTATTATATGCTAATTATGAGTTATATCTTTTTTTTGGCTATTTATGCATATACCATAATTCATTTTTATTGCAATGTAGTAAACATAAATTTAGATCAAGCATGTCAAACTCAAAGGCTAACACGGGCCAAATAAACAAGGTTTAAGTTTAAGTGGAACGCAAAAAAACAAAAACGTTCGTTTTTATAGAAACGTAGGTTTATTTAGAAAAGTACAGTATAACAAAAGTTGCCTAACTGACACAGGACGTCCTCACACTCGAAGGGCTTCAAAGTAAACAAAAGTGTGGATTTATTTTAAGGAGATGTGCATTTGCATATAACCAATGTTTCAGTCCAACTACCTTGACATATTAAGAAAAGTTTGGTAATGGGATTGAAATGGTGAAGGTATGCTGTTGCATATCTGTAAAAAACAAATGATGTTATCTTGTTGATTTTGAAGTCATATGAGTATGTTCTTCACTTTGGCTGAGATCATCAAACTTGATGATCTCAGCCAATCCAATGCTTTCCCATGGAAAAGCATTGGGAGGCTATTGTGCATGTGAGGCAAAAAGTTGCACGGCTAACCAGAATCTCTATGAGGATCGTTCTGCATCTCAATGCAGACCCAATCTAATACACTGCCTCCCCCCCCATTCTAATATACTGCCCACAAATCCAATACACTGCCACCTTCCTCCATTCTAATACACTGCCCACTAATCCAATACATTGCCCCCAAATCTATTACACTGCCCTCCCTCCCTCCACTCTAATACACTGCCCCCTCCCTCCACTCTAATACACTGCCCCCTCCACCCAATCTAAAACACTGCCCACAAATCCAATACATTGCCCCCAAATCCATTACACTGCCCTCCCTCCCTCCACTCTAATACACTGCCTCTCCTCCCTCCACTCTAATTTAGTATACTGCCCTCCCCCAATTTAACACATTACCCCCTTTCCATCACTCTAATAAACTGCCCCCCTCCTTCCTCAAATTATTACACTTCCCCTTCCATCCCCCAAATTAATACATTGCCCTCCCCCCAATTTAACACACTGCCCCCCCCTCACCACTCTAATACACAGCCCCACTCCCTCTTTCTTCACTTACTCTTTCTTTCTTTCTTTCTTTTCTTACCATCAAAAGTTGTATGGTTTATTTTGTAAATCTGTTTTTATTGAGGTT